GCTGCGCGCGCCGCGGCCAAGGACCCGCAACGGCCGCCGCGGGGGGGTGGGGGGTGGCTCCGCAACGGCCGCCTCCGCAACGGCCCCAGCCCCCGGGGCCGTCCCGGCCGGTACGTGGCGGCGGGGCCGCAGCTGCAGGCGCGGGAGGTTGCATCTTGCAGCGCGTTTGGAGAGCGGTTCAGGGCCCGCTTGTGGGCACCCTGGGGAGATCTCGTGTCCCCCATGTCTCSCGCTTGGCTCGTGAAAGGAGCTCCATGAGGTGCATTCACCTCATGGATGCGCGGGTGCCTCCTGATGCCCACTAGCACCTCCAGTCAGGGGCCTCCTTATCCCAATATGAAAATATTAGATCCAGTTGCYGTGCTGTTGCAGGTTGCCACTGTCCTGTCACCCTGCCCAGTGCCCAGAAGGGCGTTGGAGAGGTTGGTGCCCGCAGCTCTGACTCGAGGGGGCTTCCTCGTCCCCGAGGTGGCACCAAGCGCCATTGCCAGCGGAGGCAGCTCAACGTAGTGACGGGAAGGGCTTGGATTTCAGTGGCTGGCATCTCCTGGGAGCTCCTTTGGACCATGTCCTGTTGTGTTGCTCACATGCAATAAGGAGCAGGGCTCTGAAGGGCCTCCCGAGAGCAGCTCAAGTGAAAGGCAGTGCTTAGGTAGGTGAGCGCTGTGCAGTTTCAGCGATGGGCGTTGATGCCATCCYTTGTGCGGGGGCAACGAATGAAAGCTGTTTCTGACAGATTCGGCCGCTGAAGGGATCGCTGATGTTAGGTGCAGTTAAGGGGGTCTTGTGTTTAGATTTCTTCACCCTGAAAAGGAAAAGGTCTTAAAGTGTTTGACTTGAGAGACAGTTTAATTATTTCACCCKCTGGAAAAAAATATTACAGGAAGAAAAACACTAAATAGCAGTGATATCGGGGCTTGAATTAGACAATTGAATTCTATAAACACCACCTCTATAGATCTGTCTTTTGCAGTAAGTATTTGATTAGTATCAGTATTTGCTTTATCAATTCTGCTACTGGGAGACAAAAAGAATTGGTTGTACAATGTGTTCCCTGTTTTTATTCATTACATAGAGTCAAGACCTCTTGATCAGGTATCTACAGCATTCAGGTTCTGGAAAAAAAAAAAAAAAAAAAAGAGAATTGCTTAGGGGAGCATGTGCCAGCACCTATCCAAAAATGTATTAGCCCTCTCCAAGTTGCCTGCTTATGGAGAGGAATTGTATTTAAGGTACGCCCAAAGAAGCCACTAGGTGCATGGAGCGTGAGTTTCCTGCTACATCATTAGGCTGTCTCACCTCTCAGTTCACAGCCACAGCAAGCCCACGAGGCAAGCAGACACTTCTGTGGTATGTRATTTGGTCATACAGATTGAAAGAATTCAGTTTTGTTGAAGACTTAGGGTTCAGCATAGTTGCCACCTGGATAAAATGTCATGGTCTACTGTGCATAGACCAGACAAATAAGATTAGCAATCTTCCCCAACACAAGTGGATCTATGGAATTGAGCAGCAGGGACCTGATGTCTGTGCTGTATGTATTGCAAGGGGCCTTATTGCAGACTCGYTCTTACCTGAACCTGTGGACTGAAAACTCATAAATGGTTGGAGTGCATTAAGAGAGCATGCGCCTCAAGTCCACCTGCTGCTTTGCTTCTATCCAGAGTCCAGCTTGCTTTCCAAGGCCATATTGTGATAGAAAACAAAGCACAACAGAATTGAGAGCAGGTGATCATCACATTTACTTGTGAAGTTCACTTGTTGATCTGAGCTATAATGCTAGTGTAGCAGCATGACTGCTACCAAGCATATACGTGTACATGCTCACGTCTTGCAGTTAGCCTATAGCATGGAGATTTTAGGTTGTCTAACGTTCATGAGGGCAGTTGATTGCAGCCTCCTTGCGCCTATGTAGAAGTCCCTCCTGGGTCAACTCYGTGCTGCTAACATGGCCCCACAGATGTTAATATGCACTGAACCTCACGTGCTGATCGSCATTCCCTACTATGCTTTTAGTCACATGCAGGTGAACGCTTCCAGGGTTTCAGCATCCTTAAAACCTTTAAAAAGGTAGAAAACCACCCATTTAGAGAGCCCCATTTCAGCTGCTTCCTCACTTCCAGTACTACTATCCTCTCTTCCAGAGACTCAGTAAAGCTTGCAGAAAATCCTGTTCTCATATGAAGAAAAATGTTCACCCAGCCTTGTAGGCCAAGAAATTTTAAGTGAGGCGGAATGTGTAAACACTTTTGTTCCCCATTTTTTCTTTCAGGCAAGAAAATCTCAAGGCAGCCTCACTAACATGCCAGGCTCAGCCAAGCTTCTTTCTACTCAAAGACTCTTCTTTGTTTAGCATTTCTAGACCGTTGAAAGGAAACCTAACTCCTTTGTGGGTGGGTCCTTTGTGCCTGTGTCCTTTTTAAAGGAATATCTGTTGAATCTCTGGACAGTATTATAATGAGGRTTAATTAGATTGTAGGCTGCCATTATCCTTTATGTGCCACAGTGGAGTTTATACTTCCCAGCTATTGAGAAGCAGGCAGCTCTTTTGTGCCTGTGCAGTGGATTTGTTTCTCCTGTGGGATTTGGTTGTAAATTTTTCCAGCAAAGTAGAAATGAGTAATTTTTCTAATTTACTCTTTGTTTTGCTATATAATTTCAACTGCATGATTGCAACTTTGCTTTGTAACATGTTTACGTATCAGGCTTTTGATCAAATCTATATGTATTAAGATAGACTGTATTTAATATATGATAYTCAAAGCTAGCCTGTCATTTTTCAGGTCCTGATGTTTAAATATTGCATATATGTAAATTGTGCAAACACATTTTTCATAAGTCACATACTCTAAGATTATTTAAAAGTGTGAGAGCTTGACATAGGTCATACTTACCATGAAGTAAGTCCAAGTTTTAATCTTTTCTCTGCGCACTAGCAGGTGAGAATGCTTAAGGTGTTTTTTGTGGGTGTTGTCTTTTCAAAGAAATACAGTTGGTCTTCTGGTTGGCATTGTATGTTATGAATATCAAAGAATAATTGGGTGAATGGTCTTGGAGAGGTGTTCGGAGACCTGAGCAAGGAGGTCCCTTTTCTTAAGCAGTGAAGTGAGTTGTTTATAAGGAATTATGCTGCAAGAAGTTGCCTCCAGAGAATAACACATACTAATACACACTTGAACTCAGAGGAAATTGTGAGTCCTGCCTCATCACAGCGTGTTCACGATGAGGCAGTTTCTGATATTTGAGGTAGAGTGCACCGGCTGTGCCAAGGTAAGTGTACTTGGGTGTGTGCAGGTGGGACTGACTCCTTTGATTCTATCTGAGTAGATATGCAAAGATTAAACTGTTTTTGCAATGGATATGATGTAATAATTTGAAACATTATAAATTAAAACCCACAGGCAAGTAGTGAAGAATCACAGAATCAKAGAATCCTTAAGATTGGAAGGGACATCTAGGGATCATCTAGTCCAGCCCCACTGCACACGCAGGGTCACCTAGAGCACGAGGCACTTTTCTTAAACAAGAAAATTTACTTTGCAAGGATACGAAGGATAAAAATGGAAGAAYGAAGAAAAAACAAAAGTGAACTAGCCATCCTTATGCCTAGTCTAAAGAACAGTGTACTTAGTAATACTTTTCACAGCTATATCTGTGATGACTGATTTTAATATTGCCAAATTAGTTTTAAATTTAGGCAAAAGATTTAGAGAGAAATTAATTGAAAATACTTAACACTGTGTACTCCATAGTATATATCTTCATATTTAAGAATGTGAGTAAAGCAGAGCTAGAAACGATGCCTCACTGTTTGAGGGAGGTATGGGAAACAGAATTTAAGTGCCTTGGAAATATCCTCCATTGATCCTTTCTGAAAGCTAAACTTTACRTTACTCTGAAAGAAAGTCTGTGAACTTTCTTGCTGGAATGGAGAAATGTGCAGATAGAATGTACTACATTCAGCCTTCTTGTTAAGTTAGAATTTCCGACATGGAAGCTTTTATACAGCAAAAGTCTTACTGTGCAAACCAGGAGTTGTGAATATGGAAGTGGGGCAGAAAGGGGGTAAGCAGCTTAACTTTTCTTCACATTTAGGTCAGATATATTGCATGGAGTAARACTGATTGACCATAAAAGTTTTATTTCTTCATTTCATACGCTTTCTAATGATTACCAAGGTCAGTAGTAGAGCAGGAAAGGGAGTTACAGACCTCTGAGSTGCTCTGGGGGAAGAGCAGGACTGATTGGGAATATTTTATCCATTCACAGATAATGTGATCCTCTGTAAACCAATTCAAATGTTTGTCTGCTGTAGGATACAATCTATCAAGAACGTAGCATTTGGGAAGTGGTTTATGTACTCAAAACACCTAATCTGTCAGTGAGGAGGTAGCTGAAGTCCTGTTTTAAGAGGTTACCCACTGCACTTGGAGATACCTGTCAGCAAGTTCTGGAAGAGGTTGGGTACACACTGTTGTTTGGGAGTGACCAGTAAACAGCAGAACTCCCTGTATGAAGAAATAGAAGTCATCTTCTTGCTCTTTAAAAATTTGCATGAATAATTATAAAGTTGGAA